AAAATATAATAGCGCAGCTAAAGCTTTCATGAAGTATTTTCCAGTTGCTTAGTGGCCAAGCCCTCTGACTAGTGTGTATTTCAGCCCAGAATACCTTTGATAATCTTTGCCAGTATCCAGTGTTGGTGGTCTTAAAATTCTACAACCGAGTGGAAAACTGTTAAATGCTCAGGCTTCAGAGCATGCCTAATTAATTCTCTTCAGGGTTTTTGTCCTTTAAAAAGTGTTAAAAACACGGATTCGGTGTATCATTGAATATTGCATGGTTCTGTGGAAATAAATTGCATCAGTTTGATTCCTTTAGTACTTCAGAGAGTTATTGCTCTGTGCTTACTCTGGAAGTTTACAGGAGTCTTTTGAAAGTTAAGGTTAAAATAGGCAAAAGTTACTAACCATGGGGAGTAGCTGAATGGCAAAGTGAGAGCCCTAAAACTACATCAGAAAAGTCTGGGCACATAGATCAAGCAGCTGCATTTAAAAATCAGGCTATAAATCTCCCTTGCACTCGCAACTCCAAAAAGCATTTGTGTTCAGAACTTGGAGATTTTTCTATTTTTATTTTGATCAGAAATCACACTTGTGTTCATTTTATTTCATGACTGCTTAAGGAGATTTTAATGGCTTAATCCTGGAAAGTACTGGAAAACACTTAAGAAGCTGGTGAGGCAAATTTGAGCTTTTTTTCTGTCCTGACGTCAAGTACTGGGGAGTATTCAACCTCAAAAGAAACGCTAAGGATCTTTCAACATCCAGGCTTATGTGCTTCTTCCCAGAGACATGCAGACGGGAGAGGTGAAAAAGGAGCATGCGATGGAGATGAACCGGTGATTATAATTTTAATGCAGAATTAAAGGGGAAAATGCCATTATGGATATCTGTTCCTCTCTCTTCCCGTGCGGTTCATATTGGGGGGGTTGCTTTTTGCGAAACCGTCTGGGGGTGTTGGTGGCACTTCCAAGGCAAAGTTGGCAGTGCTTGGGTAGCACTTGTCACGGTCGGGATGGCTTTGTTCTCCTTCGTGGTTTCTTGTTCTGAGGTTTGTGGAGACAACAGTAAAGGCAGGTACCCACGAGAGATATTCACCCCATCTACCTAAGGAAATGCTACGTGGAACATCTTCCAGAGTGTGACAGATCATCAGGTAAGCTCCAATGCAGAAAGGTATGCAGATCTCCAAAGGGACTCGGTGAAGTCTCTGAAGGCAGCCCTGAAATCACCTCTGTTTCTAAAATTGCAAGAAATCCTCTGCTTTCAGCATGAAAGAGTGAAAATGTGTTGATCTATCTACATAATATATAATTTTCCTGCAAGCATGGATCAAAACACGAAAAATAACGATAGCTCAGGCTGTGCTGATGGAGTCTTTGATCAATCAGAAGGTAAATCACTGATTCTGTGAAAAACCTGAGCTGGCTAGCCCTGGTTCCTTGCTAGAATATGTATGTTTTGGAGAATCCCAATTTCCGGGATTCAATTTAAGGGCTTAAGAGAAAAAGCTGCACCAGAAGAAGTAAGGGAGGAAAGGGAGGGTCGTTTTCCTTGGTAATTAAATGTATTTGTGTCTGACTTTTGCGCGGATCACGGTGATGGTCGGTTAATACACCTACCTAGCTTTGGCGCAGCACTCCAGAGATCCCACCGCAAGCTACGAAGGACAACCGACATCATTACCAGTTTCTAGAGGCTTAGAAAATGTGGCAGAATGTTACTTTTTGGGGTTTTTTTTGTTGGGTCTTTTGGGGGGTTGTTTTTTTAGGATGGGGGTCCTAAGCCTGGGTGCTCCCACCATGTGCTGCTGGAACAGCTGCCCTGTCCCCATCCCTGCAGCTGCCGATGCCCCCGGCACGGTCTCATTGTCCATCGTTGCCCAGGAATTTTTCAGATCCTAATGGTGATGAGCACGTGCCGGGGAGCGTGCCAGGAAGGGAAAGCTCATTGCATGGAGAGGCGTTTTGACCTTGTAAACTCAATTCCTATTCCACGGTCTAAGAATTTGGAAAATGTTTGGCTGGGCACATAACAGCCCGCGAGGAGCCAAGGCTGGGCACCAGCGATGCTCTGCCTCAGCCACGCAGGGCTTTTTCTGCCAATGGGGCCAAGAATTGCTGAGGACACCTTCCAAATGGCAAACAGCACTAACTTGTGAATGCCCATTAGCATAAATACAGCAATGCCAGATACAGCTGACTAAAAAGCACACACATAAATATGGAAGTGTGCATTAATCCCTTTTTTTAAAACACACAATTGTCCATTTTCCATTTTAATTTTATGCAATTGCAGTGCAATCTGCAAAAAAAGTCCCCACTTCTGGTGTGCAAACCCTTGTCTTCACCAAGCTCCTGCAAGCCTTGCCAAAGCTCCCCCGTCAGTCGCGATCGGCTTTGAGATACAATATCATGAGAATAGACGGCAACCAAAGATTTTCCCTGACACTTCGGAGAGATTTAACCAGTATCACATGTTAGTTAAATGGCAATTGATTGATTGAAATTACACTTCTTGCAGATTATTTAGGTGATAGATATATTGCACTTTGTATTTAATTAACCGTTTTATGCTCAATACAAAGAGGTCATCGCATTGTGGTAACCGTTGCCAGTGAAGTAACCAGGTGACTGCAAGATGGGTACGTTACTGCAGTTCAAAACTGTGGGAAAAGAGTGGAAATGCTGGGGTGCCCAGGGATGGGCTGGCAGAGGGTTAAAACGTGTGGGAATGGGACGAGCGAAGGTGGTAGGGAGGGTTGGCCCCAAGAACCTACGTGCAAACCCATGGCAGTAGTAGGGATTACTTCCAGTGGAGGCGGCAGCTAAATGCGGGAGGGCGAGTAAGTGGTCGAGGAGGGACAGTGCCTGCTTATTCAGGCAGAATTACAGGGCTGAGGAGGGCTCCTTTCCCAGGCGGCATGGCTGAGAGAGCGCGGGAGGAGCGGAGCCGCTCGCTGCTCCCCCACGGGCACGCCAAGGGTTTTCGGTGGGAGGCTGTATTACGTCAGAGTGATTTCTCCTCTCCCTTAGTTTGCTTGGAAGAAAAGGGGTGATTAAGCAGGCCAGAGACATGATGTGTATTTTCACTTCCCTAAAAACGTCCTTTGTCCTACAGCTCTCCCATCAGATGCACAACCACTGCTCCCTGTTTGAAGGCCACGCAATTATGTCTCTACCTGCCAAGAGCAGCATTCAGCCGTGCCGTAGGGACTTCATCTCGTTATATTAACATCAGAAGGCATTCTTCCACAGTGACCAACCAAGTTGTAAACTTAACCTTGGTGACAACCCGCTGGCCCTGTGCTGCAGCTCCCTGTTGCCTTGCTCGCCCACCGTCTGCCCCACCATGCCAGATGCAACGTTACCTTCTGCCCTCCTCACACTCTTGCCCCTTGCAGTCCCGCTCCAGCTCTAACTAATGGGGCTGTGGGGACTGTGGCTGAGTTTCGACCTTGCCTGACGGTAAGTCTGCAACCTGTCCCACCTTTCCTCTCTCCACATGTCAGTGAGGGGTCTCCTCTGGGCAGGGACCTCTTTCCTGGATCCCATGGGCTGCCTCACGTGCTCGCCATCAGGTTAAACAAACAGCAGCTCTGCCGCTGCGACAGTGAGGAAGACGGGTCTAATATATTATTTAAAAGCTATCCCTGCAATATTTAAGAAAGAATAATGCAGAGGATAGAATAAATTATTATAATTTAAAGCCTATTGTGCTCATAGAAGAAGAGCGAGCATATTCATCAGTCCATATGCCTCAACAGTTGGCTAGAACTTTAGTCAAAATTTCACCCAACCCTCTCCAGTTTCCCTAACCAGTATGCAGTTTCTCTGAGATACCCATATGTTCACAGTTAACTTTAACTATTAAATTGATTTGGAAATTAATTTGGCAACACAAAATCCCATAGGATAAGGAAGTCAACATCTTCATCTATCCCCCTTTTTAGAACAGGTCATGACTTAGACTAAGGTTAGAAAATCAGAACTTGAATTTTCTCTGTAATTTAAATTTCCTCCCCCAGCCTCCTGGCATGTCACAGGAATAGAGTTATTGCCCTACAGAAATTATAATTTTCCTAGACTGGCATCCCGCTCCTGGCAGTGATCTACAGCAGATGCTCCAGCAGGAGACAAAAACATTAGGAACCAAACGGCAACGAAATTCCATGCAGGAATGTCCTCGTGCCCATGAGACACTTCTACAGCAGGCTCGGGCGATGGGAGGGGTAGGGATGCCGTATAGTCCACTCTTCCGTGGCGAGAGGGAGAACATCTTTCTACAGCTGCATAGCAAGCCACCCTGGGTATCCTGGTATGTGCCTCTGGTTTTAATGCTCCTTGTCTAGCTAGGTGTGGACCTGCCTGACTTAAGCGTGTTTGCACGGGTTGATTGCATCACTTCTGAGAGCACCACGGTACTTAAGACGTCACCGATGTTTTAACGTTGTTGTTTGGCTCTCTGGGGTTATAGAGAAGTGCCACTTCGCCGCACTTGCGAGGACGCGGCTAAAGGTACCTCAGAGCAATGGCTGCAGAAGCTGCAGACTCCGTGGCACGGCAAAGGTCCTCGAGGTCAGATCTGCTCAAGCCACGCACGAGCCCCTCTGCTAACCTCATGCACGAGCCGGGTTGTACAAACTCTTCGGTGTCCTGGGCAGTTCTGCACCGTAACCGCCGGTGAGCTACGGGCGCTGCCTGGCCAGCCGCGGCGAAGGGCTCTCTGCGCCGCTGCCGGGAAGTGCACAGCCATGTGTTCCTCTGGAAATCGTCCTGCTCTGTCTCAATAGCTGTTTGTCATGTTCCTTAATGCCACAGCTGTTCGGTTACGCCAGGCCATCTGCTTTTATTAGCCCTGTTCCCAGCACCCACTGAAACTCACACCAGCTGGGAGAAGATCATCATCTGCGTCCGAAAATAGCACTTCTCTTGTCCCCCTCTTCCAGTGATCCTGGAAACTTCAGCGTTTCTCTTCTTTTCTGATTTCCAGTTCTGCTGCCTACCTGCTGCCCCATGAAGGCTGGAGTCGCTGCCCTCGCAGCCGGGATCCTCGGCGGCACCGGCGTGTTGCTCTTTCTCATCGCTTTCGGGACCGATTACTGGCTTCTAGCTACGGAGACCTGCGGTGTCTTCGAGCCTGGGAATAGCACTCTGCAGACCGGGGAGGTAAACTCTGAAATCTTGTCTTACTCCGGGAGAAATGACTTATTGAAATAATTTAAAATTTTAAACTTGTAAAGTTTTAAATCTGTGATAATATCTATGCTCTTTGAAAGTGACCTGCTAGTGTGAAACGTCAGCCCGAGCTAATTTTAAAATTCAAACCAGCATTTCCATAGTATCTAGCATTTCGACTGAAGCAAAGTGTGTGTAGGAAACGTTAAGACAGCACCCGTGTAATCTGGCAGATGTGAACACTAGGGAACGAAAGGCAAAACCGTAAGAGCTTTACATGTTGACAACATTTGCCTCTAAAGACAAAAGATATCTCCCGATATTTGCCATTAGAAGATTTCTCCCTCTGTAGTTTCTTCATTTAAGAATAGTTTGTGTTTTAAAGTGTAGGACTTGGCAATCATTTACATCTGAAGTGATATGACTACAGCACAGACAGAAAACAAAAGCGAACATCAGACGCAGAACAGAGTAGACAAGAATTCCTGCTCGTCTAACAAGAAGAGGCCTATATATTTTAAAATTAAGATTTATATAGGATTTTAGTTAGCAGTAAATGTAATTTTCGAAGGACAATTTGGTATTTTAGTGCTAACTGTGATATCACTTGTTTATAGATCCTTTCAAAAGTTTGATTTTAGCTGCACTGGCTATTGTCTAACTCTTCAATGAAATAACAACCAGACCAGTTCCCTGAGCCACCCACTCTTCAAAAATGTTTTTGCGCCGATCAATGTGTGGTTTCAATTACAAAATGACGGGAAGATCCTTGTTGTGTGCAGACTTTCTGTTACTCCAAAGTTCAATCCTATTAGGTTTGATTTTTTTTCTGGTGTGGTGAGTCACACTGGGTAAGCATCATGATGCCAGCAAGAAATATTTTCTTTCATTTCAGAATCCCGTAATCAAATGTACGACACTGTTCGCTTGAGTCATGTTTCCAAATGACTTTCCCTATTGAAAAAAAAAAAAATTATAGGAAAAACTGCCTAGCAGAAGACACTGTCTTTACTGTTTAAAGCAACGCAGTAAAGCCCTGGAGACGGCAGAGAGTCACGGACAGAGGAGCACCGCTCAGTTTTTGTGCACTTGGGAAATGACAATGTTAATTGTTTCAGCTTTTTGTCTGTGCTGTTGTCTTTTAAAGTGGAGAGACTAGAGACGTTGCACTGCACGACACGAATAAGCATCTCAAGCATCTCGGATATGCTCTTGGCCCAGTGTTAGTGTGACTGTCACCAAGGCAGAGCAAGTTCAAAAGCGCCCGGCAGAAATAGGAACTGCTCTTACTCTTTCCTCTGAGCTCTTTTATTTCTATTCCAGCCACTGTTCCTGTTATTTCTATTTCAGTTACCAGTTGTGTACAACGGGTTGTGTTTTTACATTCTCTGTCCTTTCTTAAACCGGCAAATCCTGTCCCTTGTAGATAAGGATGGTCTTGAGTATCTGCCAGACAGCGATTAAATGTGCCGTAGATGCACTAAGTCAGCAGCCACCCAGCTGATGAAGTCTGAGGGCTGCATGCTGCCATTGTCATAGTCAGTATTTTGTCCTGAAAGTAAAAAGAGAATCAGGTCAGAGCTCTGAAAGCGGTCATAACGTGATGCATAAAAACCTCAGGGTGAGGGAAGTATCTTATAGCACCTCGCCGTTGCATCCTGTCTCCTTTCTCCAGTTCACAGGGTCCAATCCCATATGGAGTTCCTCCATCCTCCACAAAATGTAATTTTATAACAGTCATGTCTCCTTTACCAAATTGTATGTGATAAAGGCAAAATTAATTCTGGCTATAGTTTTAATGAGCTTTTTGGTAAATAGTCTATGACTCAACTTTTGCAATATTCTTTCTTCTGGAAAGACCTAAAGCTTGTGCTCACAGGTCTGGTCTGGGGGTTGAAGCAGACTCACCAAAAAAGGAAAAATTGTCCCTATCCTGGTCTATGAGAAGACTGCTGTGGGCAAAGAGTGATTTCTGTCTCACGTAAGTTTAGTGTAACTTCTACTGGGCTCAGCAGAGACAGAGAAAGAAGAAAACCTTTGGACTGGTGATTGGAAGAGGCTCAACGGGATTGTTAGAGTTGAGCTGTCTTCTGGTGTTAAGCTGGACCTTACATGAATCCTGCAGGGTAGCAAGGACATTTGAACTGTTGCATTGGGTCACCCCTAAAATTGCTTACCTGGTAATCAACCTGCTTCCAACTGCTTACAACAGCAGTAAAATTTACTTAAGGAAAGTATTTCAAAAGTAGGATACACCCAGAATGCTGTGCTGCCTGGCACACCCTTCCAGCTCTGGCAATCAGTGGTTTAAAGATAAAGAAGAAACTGTTTTGTGAAGGTCTGCAGGATGATTTGTTATGAGAACATTTTGTAGCTCTCATGGCAGAAAGTCAAGGCCAGCAGCTGCCTCTGTGGTTCCCCAAACCCTCCAAAACCAAACCAAACAACAACAAATGAAACCCACAGTTGTCTAAGCAAAAAATACACACTTTCCACCTTTCCACCGTGATCATCTCCGTATCAGCTTGGGCTTTCATTCCTCCGCAGGCCGAAACACGAACAGAGGTCAGGAAGGAGATCCTCACGTTCCATCATGAGGGCTTCTTCTGGCGGTGCTGGTTCTTCGGTGAGGGCCACCCAGAGACCATCTGGACCTTCTGGTACAGTGAGTATGATGCCACCACACCATGTTCACAGCGTTGGCTCACAGTTTGAATTGCGAACAAGCACAACAAGGGCTTCCAAGGATGAGGAGACAGTTGTCTTTTATTTTATTTTTGTTTTTCATTCTCATTGTCTCTCTATCAAAAGAAAACTTGTTTCACCCTTTCTGTGCCCTTTTTTTGACTGGGGTTTTGCTCTCAGAGGGTTGTTCACAGACATGTAGGAACCTCTTGATGCCGTTTAATATATCACCTACAAAGTCTTACAGAGTGGTGGCTTCCACCAGCAAGGGCAACTCTCCCTGCTTGTCTCTTGATGTTTGTGTTCAGCTAAAGTCTACTAAATTTGAGCCTATGCCTTCCCTGGCCCTTGGCATTGCTCTTCTGTTAGCGTTTTCATCCACTGGAGCGTTCCCACCTCCCACCGATTTCAGCGTGAGGAAGGCTGGACACGCACACATGTGGTCTCCTGGTTGCTCAGGACCTCTAGCAGTGGGTGGTGGTGGGCCATGGAGAGCCGTAACCACATGTGTTTATGCTCTTAAGCAGACAAGGCCTTTATTTTAAGATCTTGCCTGTTTTGCTCTTTAAGGTCATTGAAATTACACGTGTGAATAACCAGAGACGGATGCAAAATATTTTTTTTTCTGCAAGCACATTCACTCTTACAAATTGAAGAAGAAGGTGAAACCTGTTCTGAGACACCAGTTGGTGCTGACTGGTGGCCCATATGCAGTGAAGCGTGGGGTCTTGGCCCAGTGAACCAGGTGCTCCCACCAGAAAGAGCAGAGGAGCGAGACCACCTCACAACACGCCTGGCCCCGGCCCCGCCGGCGCTGAGCTCGCAGCCAGCTTGCCCGCTTTAGTGCACAGTGGCCAATTAGAGGACAGCCTTTCCCTGGGATGCCACAACCCTAGAGGAGTGTTGGGGGTGAAAAAATAGAGATTTTAAATAAGTCCTGCAAAGGTTTTAAACACTGCAAAAGCCTTGACCCTGCGCTCGCTGGTGTGTTGTTCTGCTCGAAGATGCTTACGTGCCTGTGGAGCAGCGTCATCGCCTCGTAGGGCGTTTGGCTGCAAATAATGCAGGTTCCCACAATAAATTTACTCCGCAGTGATTAAAATTTCAGATGGCTTTGCTGTCCCCCGGTCCCTGACTTGTGTTTCCTGTAAAATCTTGCAGGAACAGTTACTGCCACTGCTCAATGGAACAATGTGGGATTTCTCACACCGAAATTTTTTGATAAAAAAGGATAGGCGTGGAGAGGGAGTTTGCTATCTAATTACATGACATGGAAATACATGATATAAAACAATGTTACCTGAAGTAAAATGACTCTTTCTGATAACTGGCAAATTTGTGTTACTTCTTTAGGTATTTATTATAATAGGACTGATCATGGCAAATTAATTTGCTGCTCTCATGGATGTAATAATTAATTCAATAGGTATTCCATAGTCAATTTAGCATGAACTAATGTCCACCTATTATAAAGTGTTCCTTTGAGCTGGGGAACATATTTAAATAAGTGGCCAACCATTAATTAATTCATTTAACATTCATTCTATTACCGTTAATCATGATAAGCCTCAGTGGTATTAATATTGATGGGCCACTTCCATTCTAATTGTGCTTTCCCTCCTCACAAACTGGAGGTCTTGTAAGGTAGCTCGGTCTGGTAGCCGAACACCCTTGCCCTTTCCAGGCAGGCTGGCACACTTTCCGGAGGAAAATAGCAATGTGTATATTTACAGTAATTGAGTTGCACCATCTTTCATGATTTATGTCCACCTCAGGCTCAGGTTCTGAAGATGAGGTGTACAGGTAGCGGTCTCAGATCCTGTTACGTCTCCCCTCTCTCATCAGTCGTCTTTATTTTTCCTTTATCTTTCTAAGCAGGATTTGCTATCTTTCTTCACTCCCCCAGCCTTCTGCCTTCAGTGCGGGTTTTCTAGGATTTGCAGACCAGGTCATTGCCCTCTGAATGCTTTAACTGTGACCTTGCAGAAAATAAAAGCAAACTGTTTTTTTTGTTGTTGTTGTTGTTCTCTTTCAGCCAGCCAAGCACACCCCAAGTTCTGCATGCATGGCTACCTCTTTCCCATGCCCATTGCTCTCGGACCTTTCCCCCATCCTTCCTACGACACAACCGCAGGTGGGTTTCTTTCCTGCTCCCCCAGCAGCTCCTCGCCCAAGCAACCGGGCAAAGATTCACGAAGCGTGTCGGTGCCGAGGTTCTCCCTTTGCGAATGCATGTAGTGAAGCATGACCAAGGTTTTTGGAAAGCTCCGTTGCAGAATGGCCTTGCTTAGTTGACTGCCCCAAGCCGTGAACACATCGAAATGTTCTCCCACATCTTCTCTCCTCCAGAGCCAGCCGTGCCTGGCCATGGGCAGCGCACTCTCCTGCTGGGTGCTCAGTGCCTGTGAGCTAAGGAGGATGCTAAATCCATCCTCTCCCTTCTCCCACCTCCCCACTCGCTGGGAGGAGCTGGAGGCAAGGGGCTTCTGCCCCATGGCCAAGCCCAGATCCTGTGGGCGAGCAACACAAATAATCTCTCCTGGGCTGCAGGCTTGTGGCAGACCGGCGCTGACTCGCTTCCAGCGTCTGGCTTCCTGGGAGAGCTCTAGTGCTGATTTGTTGCAGGACAAAATAAACAAGCACTGGAAAATCAGTTGAAGACCAAATTGTTAGAAGATCCACGTAAGTGACTGGCTTATTTTTAATACACTGAATACGACCCAGTTGGAGAGCAATCCTTTCAACTGGTTCCCTTTTTATTTATGTTTCTCTATATTTTCAGTTCTTTAATGAGTCAGCTGCTGTTAGGAATTTTAATTTGCTAAATTGGTGGCAGCAGATAGAATTAATTCAATGATCTTTTTTGAAATGAATTGATTTCTTTAAATAGTGTGCATCACTCTGCGTTGCCTCCGGGGATCCGGGGCAGGCATACTGCACAAACAAACATCTTGACCTTTTCCTTAGCCTTTAGCAGTACCTTTTTTTTTTTTTTTATATAAGGAATTAATTAAAAAAGAAAAAAAAATTGTCAGTAGGAGCGTGTGAGGGGGAGCAGCTAGTTCCTTTTGCTGTGCAGGATTCCGGCCTCGGGGAACGTGCCACCGTGTAAGATGGACACGAGGGACCTGTGGTGGCAGGAGGAGGAGCCCCTCGCGGGCTCTGTGCAGCAGACCCCGGGTTCAGCGCTGGGTTCTTTTCTGCTTAGGAGAGGCAGGCATGGCGTCTAGTTTCTGAATGATCTCGCTGATAAACACACTATTTTTTCCCGTACTAAATAAAGGGCCCTGGAGGCATCTGTCCCTGCCTGTCAGCCCTTGCCATGCAGCCCTCGCGGCTGCCTCTCAGAAATGCCCACGGGGACGGGTCCCGGCCGGGCGCTGGGGACGGGCTCGGTGCAGGGGCTGCACCCCGGGGTGCTGCGAGGCTCTGCCCGCAGGCTCCCACCCCGCTATGGTCCCCAGGATCATATGAGGATGAGGATGTCCCCAGACCCACGTTTGGGGTGGGGGGAGCGCTGGGCTCCTCTGCTGCACCAACCCCAGCAGATGCTTCTGTCAACACCAATTTTATTTCAAACGAGCCCACCCTTGTATGCAAATGATGCCAAAACAAGAGGCCGTCTGAGAAGAGGGGTCCTCCAGCTATTACCTGCTCCAGAGATAATTCTGCCTTATCTGCATCCTCTTAGGCTCCCTGAGAGAAGCGGGTGATGGGAGGTTAAACATGAAAATGAATTCTGTGGTTTTGGAGAGTTCGAGATACTTATCTCTCCCTAAGTGGCTCTCCTGACAAAATGGTTTCAAATGAGTAAAACGCATCTTCTCTGTATCATTTTTCTTTCAAGTGTGAATCATTTCAGCATTACCCACTTGCTCGAGCTCGGCTTAAATCTCTTGAACTAGCACTTCTGAAAAACAACAGGCAGAGCGAGAGGCAGTGGTCCGAGGGGATCAGATGAATCAGGGGAACGGGGAGCAGGGAGCCAGAGGGTCTCTGCCTGAAGACCACCACCTTTGGCCAAGGTCTACAGCAGTGACTGGAAGAGACTTGGCTACTGGGAGCCTGAAATTAGTGACTACGTCCCACCCCGTGGGATGTGATGGTCGCAAGCTTGGGTCTGGCTAGTGTGTTTGCATGAAGTCACAGCAAAGCCCCCAAATCCAGCGGCTGAGGCGGCAGCTGTTTTCCTGCCCTGCTTTCTTACCTGGAGTCGAGCAAGGCCATTAATGGGGGAAATCATGAGCTCCCATTTTCCCTGCAGTCCTCCTAACAAAACCTGCCCTTATTTAAACCAGGAACCTTCTGTAAATGTTAACTAAAATGGAACAAAGATGTGGTCTGATTCCAGCTCTCCAAATTTTGTGATTTGTCTTTCCTTTCTCGCCAAGCTCTCCCATCCTCCACAGGCACGGCCAAGCAGGGTGTCCTTTCCTCTCGCCCCCTTTTGTGGCATGCTTCCCTCGCCCCCCCCCCCAACCCCTTGTAACGCATGACGTAGGGCATGACATCCAACCTGACCTGGCATCGCGGCCGTGCCCCGGCGGGGAGGTAGCGAAGCAGGAGCTCCGGCTCTGCCCAGCATGAGCAGCATCGCAGCTGATTGCTCTTCCTGTCGCTGAAGCAGGAGTTAAGCACGGACTGAAGAAAAGCGCTTTTCCTCTCCTTTCCCCTGACTTTTCTCTTTTCGGCCCCGCAGTGTACAGAGGCTTCTGGACGGCGTTCATCATGCTGGCCGTCGCTGCCGGGCTGGTGGGAGGGCTGCTGCTGGTGTGCGGCGTGCCCTTCGTCAGCCCCCGGTCCTACAAAGTGGGAGGCGGATTCCTCCTCGCCTCGGGTGAGCGGTGGGGACGGGGTGCTCTGCTTCGGGCGTGCCGGGTGGGGGGAGGCAGCCAGGGAGCAGGCGCTGCTGGGGGAGATGCGCTGGTGGGAGCTGCACCGACTTGGAGTAGATGAGTTCCCTCTTCTCCCGCTGGAAATGAACCTCTACGCTCAGTCAAGCTTGAGGAAGATTGTCCTTAGTCCTAGGGAGGCTGGGGTTTGGGAAAAAATACTTTTTTCCGTCCCCCTGTCCCCCCCCCGCCCCGCTTCTGTGCAACGCAGAGCAGCAGAGCCTTTTATTTTAGTGAAGTCCGTAGCAGCGTTAACCCTGGGCAGCAATCAGCCACGCTCTGTTCCCCCGAGTCAGCCGTTGCATTTGGGCCTCTCCTGTCTCTGCTGTTAACATCCGGCAGAGCTGGAAACCCACTGAGCGATGAAAGGCATGCCCGGCGCTTCGAAATGGGAGGGCTGGCTTAATAAGACCTGAAAAGGTAAAGCGATGGCACAGCAGGAAAATGAATTAAAAATAGGCATTTATTCATTATTCCCACTGCTGTTACAAATGATTCCACTGAATTATCACTTGGGCTTTTTCCTTCTTTGTATTTGAGGAGGAATAACTGGCTTAGATAGTAGAAATACTTGGTTTATAACTGTGACTCAAACTCAGAAAAAAGCTTTTTTTGCAAGGAAAGGCCGGAGCTCAGCTGCACCGTGCCAAGTGAAGAGCTTCATAATGGAGTCAGGCCTTTCTCTGAAAAAGCAGTGTTTAATTACAGATCCTGCACCAGGTCCCGCTTCCTCATACACGGCACGAATCAAACAGGAGCCAGTGTTTGGGCTTCCAGTGTGCTCAGGTTTGTTGGGGCCAAAAACATCAGTGAAAAGATTTAACAAGAGAGGACCCAACACTGACCCTGGAGGAACTCCGCCTAAATTGCTTCCAATCTCACCATGCCCTACCGTCGTTACCTTTTACTCTTCTCCCCCATTATTTAGCTCCCTACCCATTTTATAGCTCCTTTCCTAATGTCTATCTCCTCCAGATGTACTAATAATTAACCACTTGACGCCAGCTGAGCCGCTTGTTAAAACGAAGCTAAATGACATCTATCTATTTGTCTAAAAAATCTGGAAGGCACTAAATCAATGTGGCCGTACCTGCCTCTGCTAATTCGCTTTGCATTTTGTCCAATTTTCCATTTGCCTCCAGGTCTTCAGTTATTGAGGTGAGGGCAGCAAGCCTGTGGGGATCTGCTTATCTCTCTCTTATATAGTTTAACAAATGCTTGGTCGGGCTTGGTTTTTCTAAAGGCAAATTTCATGTGCTTTTACGCACAAGGATTTCATTCGGGTATGCAAGACGTCTTGCTGTCAGCTCCCCATCAGGTACCAATGCCTTCTACTGAGTAGCGTTGACATGCGTGTGCGTTGAAGTAATCTCTTCTTGTGAGACTAGGGCCGAATACTCAAATCCTCTCAGACGTGACACGGGCTACCTCAGTCAAAGCCCTACTTCTTCAAAACGCTCAACTTTCAGCCCAAATGGAAAAACTGAGATGGATCATCGTCTGACACAGGCCAGATAACCGAAATATCACACAGAAAAGGGTGTCGAGTGATACTGAATCACTGTATTCCATTTTTTTTTCATTGTTTTTTGCACTTTATTTGACTACTTCTTGATGAAAAGGCTGGGGCATAGAATCTGACACTTTTTAGAAGAGATGATTATGCATCACATAAACCTCTTGGCATTAGACAAAGATGCTGCTGTTAAAATCCAAGTTTGTATTAAAGCAGTTTCAATCTGAACAGCAATCATTGTTATTAACTGTCATTAGGAGGAACGAGTTCAGCTGGAAGAGAATTCCTGCTAAATTTTCAATCTAAATGATAGCAGTATTATTTCAGCATTTTCAGCAAAGTTTGCTCAGAGTTTCTAGCTGTTCCTTTTTTTGGGAGGAGGGTGGATATCCTGAACTCGGACCTCTGGATCCTGCTTGGCACTGGCTTCCTGATGGATTCGGGATGCATCTCTCCGTGGTCGTTTTCTTGTTATCTCTTCTAAAAATATTTTGCGTGATTGTGCTAAGCAGTCGGAACAACAGATTTAATAGAGCTTCAACTCCCTACCCGTCCCTTTCCTTCGGACAGCGGGACGTGGAGAGACGACGCAGGAGAAGGCGCGCCTTGTCTTCTAATTGTGGCCTGCGGGTCAGTGTTAATTAACCTCCCTTGCAGAAGTGGTCTCTCCTTGAGGCGGTGTGGAAGGACTGGCAATCTGCAGAGCAGGAACGTGGTCTGGCAGTCGGATGGCGAGACGGGGCACCGCGGCTGCGAGATGCCGCGGCCTCTCAAGGCACCCTTTATATACAACTTCGTTCTGCCCGTAAAATCCCTCTGCCCCTTTTGTCAGCGGCCCACGCTGAGGCCGTGGTTAATCATTGCAAAATGACGCAACCTTTGCCACCGAAAAGCTCTGGAGACGTTGTTGGCGCAAATACGCTCCCAAGCGCGTCGATGGTTAACCAGCCCGAGGTGATGCGCAGGGGTTAGCGTGCCCCTCCGTTGCGGGGGGGGGTCAGCACCTTGGGGTGAAGATTGCGATCGCTCTGTTCGGTTTCTCCGGGTTTCCTCCCCGAGACGCCTTTCATTCGCCGTGCTTCCAAGAGGAGAAACCTGACCGCCCGCCAGCTACCCTAACCAACGCGGCGCTGGGCCGGCGGCCTCTCCGAGGGGCCTTTCCAAGGGCCGGAGCCAGCCCCCTTGACTTCCTCTGCCGGGCGACTCGGGAGAGGCAGCCGGGGCCCGTCTGGCACCTGCTGCCGCGTGCGTTTGCGC